CCGCGCGCCCCAGTCCGCCACTCACTCCGCCACCGCTGACCGCGCCGATGCCGTCGAACTCCCGGCCCAGCCCGTCGGAGTCGTCGAGCACATACGCGCCGCCGGGCGCCAGCAGCGCGCACAGCAGCAGAGGCACTGCGGCTCGGCCCGCCGAACCCGCGGCGGCCGTCATGGCTTTCACTCGGCGTTGCCGGGAAGCCTGGAGTAGGCTCTCAGCCATTGTGTGGGTCACATGACTCTGGCGCCCAGGGAGGCGGGTCGAGCCGCCGCCATGATGGAGAAGGGCAGGAGGCAGCTGAAGTCGTCGCCGCCATCTTGAGTGCGGGACACAGGTAGTCGATGCAGCTGCCGTAGTGTGGGAAGGCAGAGCGAGCCTTTTCTGGTCGCACCCTCGTCGGGCTAGGGCTCAGGCTTTCAGGTGTGCTCACTTCGCTGCTTCTCCGTCCTCACCTACTGGAGCACTTTAGTGACAAGGAGATGGATGTCCAAGGCCCGCCAAGGGAACTGGATAGTGAGCAGCCTACCATGCACCTTCCCCAGCCTCTCAGGGCGCATCTACCACGTGCCCCTCAGTGGCAGTACAAGAAAGAGGCCAGGCTTGCAGCCCATAACCAAGCCCTAGTTCAGCTCTTACCTTGGTCGAGGCACTTGACTTTCTGAGCCTGAGTTTCCTCGCATGTAAGATGAAACAGGAAGAGCAACCGCATGGAAACATGATTAAATGAAATACAAGTAAGGTAATAGGCACTGGGTAAAAAAAGGTTCTTTCTGGTAACTGTATATTTAGCTTTTAGCTTTGTAAATGACTCTGCTGCCAGCCGAAATGGTTCCAGGCAGATAACCCAAAACTGGTAAGGAAGTTGTGAATTGTCCTGGAATTTCTGCCACATCTAGCATTGGTCTGAGATTTCTGATTTCCTTCATGTTGGAGCAAACTGAAGAGACTCTGAGAGGCTGCAGAGATAGCAGTTATACTTGCTCTTTCTTTGAATTACTGTAGGTCTAATCTGGTTTGCCACAGACAGTCCCACCTATGTCTGTTGTTTCAACATAATTATAAATAGTGCCCCTTTCACCCTCAAGTGTTTTGGTTTGCATGATAAGTTGTATAGTCCCCTATATATGGACCACTTTTTTTATTTCTTCTTTTCTCAGTACAGCATGTATCTGAACTCTCTACCTTCCCTACCACCAATATTCTATGACACAAGTCAGTAAGTATCCAACTCCAATAGTTTTACCTTCCCAGAACCCACTCTGAAGCATTTGTTCTAAGACAATATGAGCTAGAGCACCAATAGATGCAAACCATGGATGATAAGTAATGCTAAGCTTCCTTACAACTCTGGGATTTAATATCTGAAATGCATATAACATGCATCATAATGTAGAAGGGAAATATCAGGTGATGATAGAGGAAAATACCATACACATGAAATTAGGAAATTGAAACGATACCCAGCTTTAGTCATCCCATAGTACATCATTGCGCCTTTTTTATGTGCTATGTGTGAAATTAGAAGAGGAAACTATTTAACAGAAAAAGTAGCCTCACCTCCAAGACATACCACTTAGTTTCTCTTAGTTGGTACACCAAAATAATTACCAGAGAAAATACCTGGTTTCAGATTTCTAATCTATGTTCAGGAAACCATCAAACAAGAAAGTTTCTAATAAAAAAGCAAGAAATATAAACAGAAAGGAAAATCCTTACGCTGTTGAGCACAGTATTCAAATTTGCTCAAGATTTGAGATAAACGGAATTGGCAGTTAGTCATGCAGGTGATCGCATGTAAGCCTTTTCTCACGATATGGCAGCTGGCTTCCCTCAGACCAAGTGATCAAAGAGAGAGAAGAGGAAGTCACTGGGATTTTCTGACCTGTCTCCAACATAGCACACTATCACTTCTGCTTTATTCTGTTCACTAGAAGTGAGGCATTAAGTCTAGCCCACACTCAACATGAGGAAAATTAAGGCTTCGTCTTTCAAAAGGAGTGTCAAAGAACTTGTGAAGATTTTTTAAAATCACACATACCCATGATGAATTTTAGCAAGCTACTCGTATGATGTAGTATTAAATATTGCAGTAACTATATTTGGTTAACTTATTGACAGAAATGGGTATTATAAAATGCTATAAGGAAATTTACTCAATTAACTGCACATTTGCAAAGATATTAAGCATCCTCTTAAAAAAAAACACTGAAGAGAATAAAGACTACCATTCTTTTTTTACAAAATTGCAGGTATTCCTATCACTTGGATTTTCACGATAATCTCTGCACATTCCATGGATTTGGGTGTTACCCACAGCTTTGAATAACAGAACCCTCACCAGTCAAACTAGCTTCAGCTCTCACCTGTCTGTCCCTAGTCCCTCTGCCCCAGCTGACTTCATTTTTTTGCCAAGCATCTGTACTTCTCTACCCTAACCTTTGGACTGAACCTCCTTAAATATTAATGCATGCCTTTGTAAAACCTGAATTCATGAAACACTTTTGGGATCTTAAATCTTAAACTGTCAGCTGGCTATCCCTACCATAAGCACACTCGACAGAACAGACACTTCCACAAGAACTTATTATCCTGACTTCGAAAATTAAGCTAATTAGCAATCTACACACCCACGATACATCAGAGGAAACTATTTGGTGTTAATGGTTTCTTAGCATTTGGTTAAGTTATTTCAATAAGTGAGCATAATAAAGATATTAAAAGTTACTTATATAATATACAGACATCAAGAAATATATATCTTCTGAAAAGTAGGATATTAAAGACTAGTCTTTAGTTTGATAACATCTCCATTTTTACTATTAACTGTACTTAAGCATGTTCTGACCTAACTTTAAAGTCAAAAACATTTACTAGTCTGAAATGAGAGACTGTATTAGCTCATTTAAAAAAGAAAAAAGAAAATGGAGCCAAATGAACTAATAGTATGATGATGCATAAGGGAATTTAATTATTGATGAAGGCAAAATAGGGTTAAAGTACCCAAACCACAAGAATTTGAACCAGGTGTTTCCACCCTCCTCCTTTCCAGAGGTTCCGTTCTCCCCATCCCTCACAGTCTCTCACCCAAGCGCCCATCCTGTACACCAGTCGTTCTCAAACTCTGGAGCATCAGAATCACTTGGAGGGCTTGTTATAACACATATCGCTGGGCTCCAACCCCAGAGCTCCTAACTCCCTGGTCCTGGGGTGAGGCTGAATTGATCTCACACATTCCTAGGTAACTCCAAGAACCATGCTTGGAGAACTCATGTAAATGAATCCTGGAAGTTTTGCCATAATGTAGCAGCCAACTAAGATTTTATTTGACAACTTAATATTTTACCTTTCCCAGGAATATTTGCATCTTTAGAAAAGCCTGAAGGCAAAATTTTCAAGACTCCCCCCAAAAAAAGATTTTCTAATAGTTACATTTTAGGCCCTTGACAAAGAATGAGGAAAATGTTTTTGCTCAGTAAGTAGTCTCATACAAAAGCTCAACAAATGTTTGTTGAATTATACACCTGGGATGCGTGATCTTAACACTGGCTTCCAATCTCAGGCCATAACCAACTAAAATTCTGTTCCAATCCCCCATTCTGCCAAGGTGGTAGAAACTTAAAGTTAATTCAGGGCCCAACCTCTCCTTCCTCTAGGTTTCACTTGTATTATTAGTGTGCTAGGACTGTCAGAATAAAATACCACAGACTAGGTGGTTTAAACAACAGAAATCAACTTTCTCACAGTCTGGAGGCTGGGAAGCTCAAGATCAAGGTGTCAGCAGATTCAGCCTCTGTCCTTGGGTTGCAGGTGGCTGCCTTCTTGCTGTGTCCTTACATGATCTTCCCTATGGGCTATGTGAATCCCTGTGTCTCTTTGTGTTTCCAAATTTCCTAGTCTTGTAAGGACATCAGTCAGATGGGATTAGGGCCCATACTAACAGCTTTATTTTAACTTAACCACCTCTTTAAATGCCCTATCTCCAAATACAGTTATATTATGACGTACTAGGAGTTAATACTTCAACATATGAATTTTGGCAGAGGGTAAGGGTACAAAATTCAGCCCATAGTGCCACCTAAGATCCAGGGAGTTTGCATGTTGCCAAGGCTGGAGGGCAGTAGCTCAGCCCTTGTTTCCCAAGACTGCCCTCGATCAGTGCTGGCCTCCGAGGTGCCCTGTCCCAGTCTTCATTAGTTAGTCCATGTAGGACTCATCCAACTTGTCCCTCATCGATGGCTGCAAGGCTGCTTCTATGACACACTGGGCCACTGGAAGCCTCAGGAGATGGGCTGAGGCTTTTCATCACATCCACGTGCCCTTCGTGGACTTCCAGAAATCATTCTGCTCCGCCTGTGCTGTGCTGGGCACAGTGAACTTGGTGGGGCCATCACAGGCCTCTCACACAACACACATACTCTTGAGTCTCACCACGTATCTGGACTTCACCCTGGATGTGAGACCTGGGTCCACTCTCCTCCCCAGACCATGCAGCCCATCTGGGGTGACTCATCCCACCCCCACCTCAGGGCTTGCTGGGGAGGGGGTGCAAGCAGTCAGAATGCAGGGGCCCCGCCTCAGACCATCACATGAGAGTTTGTGACTGCCTCTCTCACAACCCGAAGCCCCACCTCCACCAGGCAGAAAAAACTTTCCGTTCTTGGGGTTGGGAAGTTTTTGCTTTATCTCAACAGGTATTCTCACAAGCACACTATCCTGAGTTGCCCAAATCTTTTGAAACTCAAAACCTAAGAATATCTTCTTCCTACAACTTCCTACTTTACTACTAAGCATTCCTTCAAAGAGGCAATAAATACAAAATGACTAACTGAGTATATAGTGGTAGGGATGGAGTAAAAGGAAATATGGCTGGGGAACTATACCAGTATTTCAGAACATACCCTGCCATGGTTAGTTGCTACTTTAACAGTGAAATTGCGCCAAACGGACAATGTGGTCTCGCAAAAGACCCTTCATCAGCAGTTTAGGCTCTTGCACTGTCAGCTCCATTGGAGAAGTTGCAACTGGGCAGAACCGCATTCTCTTCCCCTTTCCCACATGGCTGGCCAAGTCCCCGGCCTCTGGCAAATGTTGGGTGTCCATTTTATGTACTCAGAAGACCAGATAACTGGCACACCAGGAATGTAAACCCCCTAAAGGCAGTATTTTGAATAACTGCTAATTGGCTTTTGCTCACCTTGGAGTTTAAAATTGTCCCAGACTCAACAGCTCTCAAATTTCCAACTCTTCATTAAATAGCCTTGTGGTTGAAAATACAATATTGCCAAATATTCTGGACTAAATAAAAAGCAAATTTATTAAAAGTTAGTAAATGTCTTACTGTATAGAATTGGCAATGTTTTAGCATAGGTCAGCCACAGTTTTTCTCCTATGTAATCAAAAGTGAAAGTTTGTTTCTTGTATTTTAACTACATCCTTTTCTTTGAAAAACAAAATGCATAAATATTTATATGAAAAATTCCTGTTTCCTAAAAGTGGAAGTGTAGTCTATTTAGGTAAAATAGGAGATATTTAGAGCTATGAAATACTCATGTGTAGATACCACAGATAAGCGGATGTGTAAAACCAAGCAAAAATAAGAATTCTTAATTTGAGTCACAAGTAAACTGAAATCATTACTTTCATTTTTTATAAAGGCACAAGGGTTTTATTATTTTCCATATTAAAATTTTCATTATTTCAGTAAAAATATAAAGTATGCTGAATTTTCACATTGTATGCTAAAGTACTTTGAAAACTCTCATGTACTTTATAAATGTAAGTTATTAGCTTTTATTCTAAAAATGAAAGATCTGCAAAGGAAGTATAGAAAACTTTTACATTCCAGGTATATCCTGAATAACCTCAAGATTAAAAGTCATCGTTATGTCACCAAACATCTTTTCTACTTCTGGGGAGGAAAAAAAAAAACAAAAAAAAAAAAACCCTGCTAACAAAAAGTTCCTTTTACCAAAATATATTTAAATTGTTTTGATTACTGCTTTTTAAGTTAAATTTTTTCATCTCAAATTAATTTTGTCCTTATAAAGTAATTCTCCTCATCATTTGTAATAAAAGTTTATAGTGGCAAGGTTCAAACTAGTTTTAGCATATTTCAAGCAATCTCTGCTTTCTATTTGAAGAGGAGAATCAAAGGAGAAAATGGTTCTACAATAAAATAATCCAAATGGTCCCTTTACAGAAAAAGACTTCACACAATTGGCCACCTTAGCCCCGCTGTTACTGCCATCAAGCGATGAAACATGCTCATTATATACCCAGCCCCCATCTTTCTCTGCTGTTTTTTCTCCCAGGTAAGTCGATCACCCTGAATTCATCTATAACATTCTCTCCTATCTCACACATTCAATGACTTATCCTTTCTTATTGTACCTCTCTTGGAGCGCTTATCTATTTTTGCCATTGTATTATGATTATTATTGAACATGTCTTTCTCCTTCACTAGGTGATAAAACTGCTTATGGCCTATAGCCAGGTCCTAAATATCTCCCATCACAGTGCCCTAAGAATATGACATATATGTGTTGACAGAATAAATGAATGAGTGAATGAATCAATGAATAAATAAATTCTAGTACACATTTTAGTAAAGCACATATAATATTAGTATACAATTGTAATTAAGCTGCAAAGAGAAGAGTGAGTTATAAAAATTATACTATAGTAAATAATAAATGAAAACACCTTTTAAAGTATTTAGGAGATATTTTTCAAGCTTGGATAATGTACATCCTTCTTGTTAAGATGCTGCTTCCTCATTGGTTTGTGACGAAATATGAGTGCAATTTCCTGTCCCCTCAGCAGTGTTAGTTTCTCTTCTTGATGCAAGTGGACTTATCTGGCTCCTCAGTTGACAAAATCATTTCCCCAAGGAACATGGGTAAGTGTAAAACAATCGAATAAGATTTTTAAGTAGATAACATACTTTTACACAGTTGTCAGTAATGTTTGCAACATTTTATCGAGTTTAGGTTGTATAGATGTGGTAGTGCAGACAGCATTACAAGAGAGAGAACCAAGGATGACGGTGTCCTCTAAGCAGTGGTAAAAGGATGTCAAAATTTGCATTCAGAAATAGGTAAACTATTCATATACAAAAGAGAGATGTTTATAATCTCTTTCCTCTTCAGGAAGCAGTCTATTGGCAAGCTGAATTAAGTGGTTAGGAAGATAGCTCTACAGCCAAGAAAGCTCCTGGCCAGAGAGCTTTCATCAGCACAATGGTCTAATGGTACTTTTTATACCATCAGAAATAGTGTGAAATTTAAAAATAATATTCCCATTATTAATAAGTATCAGTTAATAATTCTTAATAAGTAACTATCACAGTGTCTGACGTAGTAGAGTCTTAATAAGTAGCTATTAAAATGATAAGTGAAAGCAAATGTTTCCTATCTTTTTATCTTTCAATCTTTTAGCTTTCGATTATTGTTGTCAATGATTTGTACTATTTTAAGAGCTGGTTAAGAATAAATATGTTTTAATATCCTGTGGATTATTTTCTTTTGGCATTAAGTAAAAATGAAGATAAAAATCAAAAACATCCAAATTTCTCAGAACTGATTCTAGAGACAGTTTTTCTCAAAGTTTAATTAAAGTAGTCAAAATATCTGGAAAAAAGTATGAATAATAAGAATTATATATTTCATTTAAATCTCAGTTTCACAAAAATTAATTTAAGAATATTATCTGCAGAGCCGGTATCATGTGAAGTATCACTGTACAAATTACATTCTGAGTGCTTCTGGCTTCTCTGCTGCGCTCTGAGTAGACAGCCAAAGATGACCTCCTTTTAGGAAATGTAGGGGACAGCATAAAAGACATTTATGGACTACTGCTATCACTATTAAAACAATAATATTAGCTAATGTATAGTGAAGGCTTACCAGGTGCTAGGTACTTTGCTTCGTGTGTCATGTCATTTAATTCTCAGAACAACTCTATGAAGTGGGTGCCATCTTATACCAGTGAAATATGAAACTTAGAGAGGTGAAGGAACACACAGGGTCTGAAATCCCCACGGACTGCACGGACTGTTGAGAGCCTTTACAACAGTCTCCACATATACTCACAAGGCTTCATAACCATGCGGTATGCCAGGCAGTTTTTCAACCAACGGTATATAAGAGTTCCAGGTGCTTCCGTCCTCACTGACATGTGGCATTTTCTGTCTTTTTCATTTTTTTAATTCTGGTTAGTGTGTAAGTTGTATCTCATTGTGATTTTAGTTTGTATTTCCCTGATGACTAGTGAAGATCCAGTATTCATTCATTGTCGGCCTGATGTTTATGGGACCAAACTAATAGTGCAGACTCAGACTCTGTGCTCAAGTACCAGCCAGAGGCAAGGATTTTTTATTATAGCTCATTGCAGAAACAAAGCTGAGACAGGAAACGTGCCAACTTGCCCAACTGTCTGCAAATATCTGTAAAGTTTGTAATTTTTCTAGTTCACCCTTTGCTTGAGGGCAGAGGCTGCTGGATTCTAACACGTGTGGGGTGGCCCAGGACCACTTCCCACTTGTGTGGGCTCACGTTCCATCCCTAGCTTTCCTGCGTTCAGAGGCCCTACTTCCTCCAGATCTCCATATACCTCCGGGATATCCAGAGCTTCACTGCTCACTTACCTCCCTGATCTCAGCTCCCACTTCCTTTTTTTTTTCTCTCTGGAAGATTCGCCTATTTGATTTAAAGGGCTGTTTCTCACATTCTGTTCCTATTTTTAGGTGTGGCAAAACTAGAAGATTTCAGTTCTCTATTTTATTTCAAGAGTGATATGTTTATAATATGTACTCTGGATATAGGTTACTCCACTATCAGAATATTTGTGCCTTGTGATGACAGGTCTCTTGTGCGTAGGGTTTATTGACAATTGTAAAGGGGTGGTTTTGACATCATCTAGGCTCTACGGCACACAGGAAGGAGGCAAAATTTCCTCCCCCGCCCCCCCACCTCCACCCATAGTGATTCTACAAAGTTTTCAATGAACATCTCCATCAGATAAATCATCTAAAACAAAAGATATATAAACAGAAGTATTTCTCTACTCCAGTGTGGGTGTCTCTACTTCATCTGGATGTTGGAGAGAGAAGGATGGATTTTTTATTCCTATATGAACCTCTAAAAAGAAACAACTCTAATAAATAATCAAGTATAAAGGTAGAAACTGATGATAACAAGATTTTACCCAGAATTGAGAACATTCTGCCCCCTTTTTCACAAGAGTATGAGAAAGTTAAAATGAGTCAACCCACAAAGGAAGCAAAAGAGAACAGAAAAGATAGTGTTGTCTATTTCTTTATGAAAATTCAGCAAGCTGCAATATTTCAAAAACTTTATCAAATTTCTTGTGACTATTTTCTCAGCTAATAAGCTGATTTTAAAAGTGCCTTATACCTAGATTACATGTGAAATTAAAATTTTTAAATCATGTAACCATACGGTTTATCATACATTCAACGGCATTTACTAATTATAAACAAATCAAGAATTTGCCATCTTTTTTATTAGCTCTTAAAATGACCTTTCAACTTTAGTTTTGTGTTCCTTTATCATGTCCATGAGAAAAATAATTCCCTCCAATCTAGCATCCTTTGGATAATTCTTATTTGAAATAAGTAAAATACCTTGGCTTGATTTCGTTTACTGAAGTCAGATCATGTTGCTTTATGCCCACTTTCATTGTAATTTAATGAATTTTTGTTATCTTCAGTAAATTAAATAAAAGATTGTTTCAAAATCATGTATCTTTTAAACATCTAAACTATTCTGGTTTGTCTTTTATTACAGAAGCAAAGGCATTTTAAAAAGAGATGTCTACCTTTGTGAAAACAAAGCCTTATGTATTCATGTTTGTACCAATCTCAGGAGTCTCATGAAGGAAGATAAACTGGGGACAAGACTGTTCGAAAGCTGAGTGATAACCCAGTTGGTCCTCAAGAGTTCTTCGTCAGCATTTTGTGATAATAAGCATATGGACGTCTATTCGTTAAAATCAACTGGCCACTACAGCTAACTACCAGGAGTCCAGATTCTGACTTTGCACCATTGACACCTGTGTCTAAAGTGATCATCCATTCTTTAAAAGCATTGATGACTTAAAATCAGAACTTTCGGAAACAAAGAAAAGTTGAAGAAATTTTATAAAAGTGAATTAGATGTTGAAAAGAAACTACAAGGCAAGACTTACCTTGCTATCTACCTTCTAAAAACTAATGTAATTGCCACTTTAGAAAGGAAAAAAAATGAATAGCACATGTGTTGATGAACAGCATGACCTGGATCACTATTTGTTTCCAGTTGTTTACATCTTTGTGATAATAGTCAGTGTTCCAGCCAATATTGGATCTCTCTGTGTGTCTTTCCTGCAAGCAAAGAAGGAAAATGAATTAGGAATTTACCTCTTCAGTTTATCACTGTCAGATCTGCTGTATACACTCACTCTTCCTTTGTGGATCAATTATACCTGGAATAACGACAACTGGGCTTTCTCTTCTGCCTTGTGCAAAGGGAGTGCTTTCTTCATGTACATGAATTTTTACAGCAGCACAGCATTCCTCGCCTGCATTGCTGTTGATAGGTACTTGGCAGTTGTCTACCCTTTGAAGTTTTTCTTCCTAAAGACAAGAAGATTTGCATTCATGGTCAGCCTCTTCATCTGGTTCTTGGAAACCATATTCAATGGCATCATTTTGTGGGAAGATGAGACAGCTACGGAATATTGTGATGCCAAAAAGTCTAATTTTACTCTATGCTATGACAAGTACCCTTTAGAGAAGTGGCAAATTAGGTTCAACTTGTTTAGGACGTGCATATGTTATGCATTACCTTTGGTCATCATGATGATTTGCAACAAGAAAGTCTACCAAGCTGTGCAGCATAATAAAGCCACAGAAAGAAGTGAAAAGAAAAGAATCATAAAACTACTTGTTAGCATCACATTGACTTTTGTCTTGTGCTTTACTCCCTTTCATGTGATGTTGCTGATTCGCAGCATTTTAGAGCGTGATGGGCAAGTATTTGACTCCAAGTCTGGGAAGCAGACTTATAAAATATATAGAATCACAGTTGCATTAACAAGTTTAAACTGTGTTGCTGATCCAATTCTGTACTGTTTTGTAACTGAAACAGGAAGGGCTGATATGTGGAATATATTAAAATTCTGTACTGGGAAGCTCAATAAATCTCAAAGACAAAGAAAACACATACTTTCTGTGTCTACAAAAGATACTGTGGAGTTAGATATCCTGGAATAGAACCAAGGAACTATATTATTTAAGATATACAACATTATATCATCAAGATTACATTTTGAAAAGGAAATCTAGCTGTGCAGGAACTAAGTGTTCCAAATGAGTGAATATTTTATTATCCTCTCCAATGGAAATATTTTTAAAGTGTACTATATTGCTCCCTGACTATTATTAAATGAGTGTTAAACAGAATTTAGTATTTTCCTAATGACTCAAAATTATTATTATTGATAACAGTTGTTTTTGTATCCTTGCTATAATCTCTCACAGGACTGTGTGTCTTTAATTCAGGGAACTTTGTGTCTAGTTTTTATGATTTTTCTCCCTTTTTCTATAGCTTTCAGGCTGTCAGCTATAACTTCTCCCAGCTGTATGTACCTGTGTCCAGCAACCCCAACTACTAAATACTGCTTCTCATCACTCATTACTAAATATTTTTTGAGCCCGTTCTATGTACTAAATTTCACATTTAGTATTGGTGTTACAAACAAATGGTCTCATAAAGCCTTATAAAGCTCATATCAGTTGAGAAACCTAGTCCTTCCGTATAAAGTAAAATAAATGGGCTCAGAGTGACTGTCTGAAAGCTTTTTCCATAAAGACCTTCTTTCTTTTCTTTAAAATTATAACTTTATTTTATTTTAATTTTTTTAATTTACAGTTAAGTACAACATAGTCGAAATTATCAGAAGCTTGATGTCAAGACAAAAAGACATTATAGATTTTAAAAAGACATTTATTGTATTAAATCTTGCATTCAGAGACTACTTTTAGGACTTAGATTATTTAGAGAATCTTGATATAATATATTCTTTTGAATTCCAGTTACGGAAATTAGTCTGCCTAGTTTTAAGTGGGCATTAGGTCAACATTTTCTCTAACCAAGGTATTTTTAAAGAATTTTTATCTTACTCTTCCTCTTTTCTTCCTTCTTTTCTACTTGTTTCTTCTACGGCCCTCCTCCAAAAAAGAAAGATCAGATAGCAAAGGTTTTTATGCCATTTGGTGCCTTCTCATTGGAAAACAAAAATCCTGACAAGAAAGATTAATATCTTTTCAATAATGAATTTTTGGACACACACTGAAAAATGAGTGTACAAATTAACTACATTTTCCAGGAAGGTTTTCCTTGATGGTGTGTACATAAGAGAAAACCCCCTTGCTTTTTAGGCCATGTGTGCATTCTCTGTTCTTTGCATTTTTCTGATCATGGTTTTTAGAGAATCAATCAATTGTGTCTGGGCACTCTTAAGAAACATATGCAGAATGACTAAAGTATACCATCAAAATGAAGAGTAAAATAGTTCAGGCTATACGATTAATTATTGATAAATTATTGGCAGCCTGTCAGTTGAATACTTGAAAAGTTAAAGTTCCAGAAACAATTTTGCCCACATCTGAAAATAAGATGTAAATGACGTGTCTTGTCCAAGATCACAAGACCTCCCAAGATTCCAAACTTCCCTTCAGAGTTGCTTTTCTCCTTTTGTTTGTTTATTAGTTTTTCAACATTTCTACCATTTCGTTGTTTAGGCATGCTAAAGACATGCATGACGAGTTGTTCAGGATAGTCATTGAATGTCAGTCAGGAAAAGGGAAAAAAGAGGAGGGTTGTTTCATGAACTAATACCTCTGGAGATAGAAATCACGTAGACAGTTATTAAACCTATCCGTAACAGAACCGACTGAGACTACCTCAGCTGGCTATATGAAGAGACGTAGCAGATACACATATGTGGCATCTTTAACAAGAAGGTTCTACCTACCAATTAACTGCAAAACCATCTATTTAGGATGTTGTGAGATAAGTTCCAGAATGAACCATGCTGCCAAATCTTCAAGTAGCCTATCTTTCCTGTTAGAGCATGGAGAATCCGTGTTGGGAGGATGCTCGGATGAGTTAGGACAAAGCACTGGAGATATGATCCGAAACTACCTGCAGCCCCAACATTGGAAAGTTAATCCTTTAGTTTTAAAAGGCTTTTTAGGCTCTTGATTAAAGTACCCCATTAAACTAAAAGTACTTCCGGAAGGAATAAGTATTATCACCTGGAACTTTGTTGTCGGAAGACCTGGAATGGAACACCACGGATCCACGTGTGAGCTGTTTGACCTCAAAAAATTTTCTCTCACCCTAAAGCTCGATTTCTATAAACTGTAGGGACAGTAGTAACTCTTGCTTTTAACAAGTAAATGTGAAAACACTTTGGAAACTGTGTTGAGATTTCTAAACATTCATTATTATTAGTTAGTCTCATCTCTATCAGTATTAATGGACAGCTACCCAGGAGATAGAAAAGTCCCTGGAGGGACACTGGGGGTGAGAATGTAGCAATGGGAGCTGAAAGGCGCTGGCTATAGCAGGATTGCTGTGGTTACTTCCTCCAGGTGGTTCAATACATCTACTAAGGTAACCTGAGGGCCTTCATCATTTCCTGGTTCTGTGAGACATTCTCAGTATGTCTGCTCCTAGGAGTTCACAGTTCTGAGGAGACGTCATAAACACGCAGGTAGATAGCCATGTTTAATTTGTTTGAATGTTTGACTTTTTATTGACTTATTTATGTATTTATTAACATTTTCAGAATGTTATTTTTTAACTTAATGAACTCAATTAGACATCTTGAATAGACCAGTGAAGGGACGGAGTACAGGGTTTTAAAGCCTCCGTTTTCTCCACCTGGTCTGGAGAAGCTTCATGGGATAGGAAGAACTTGAAAGACATCCAAAACCACCACCTCATTTTGTTCAACTTTTATACTGTCACTTCCACAGGAGTATCCTGAGCCCTTTTTCTCTTTTTGATTTAAGCTAAAAGCTCTCCCCAAGACATGATATTTCTCTTGCTTAATGTCATGATCAAATAAACAATTATTCACCAATCACCTCTCTTGGCTTTGTGAACATGATTTATTTATTTTTATACAGACATACCAAATTTAAAATAGAATTTGTGATTCATAGCATATAGGCATTTCTTTTTACGATAGTTTTATCTTGCCTTGAGCTTTTTTCTTTTTTTGCCAGTCATCACTTTCATCATTCTGTCATGTATGCATAGGGCCCCTGTTCTTTTCAGGCTAAGCCCATCCACAGGTTGCTATGGAAACACAACAGCTACTATAACACCCTGACCCAGGAAGGCCTTTATGATAGACTTCTTTGTCTAGGTCCATCAGGTGACTCTGCCATGAATTAGGAAGCTGTTCCTCCAACAGACACAACCACACACATACATATTCATAGACACACACGAACAACCTGCCCTATCTCACAAAAACAAACAAAAAATTCCTGCACTGTTTTAGCACATGCCTGTACTGTTTTGTAAGCTGTCTGATACCAACTACCTCCTTAACTTCAGAAATAATGCGCCATGTGGGTGTTTTCATTTTCTTGTTTACTAAATCAGCAGCCAGAGGGACATTGTTAAGATTCTCCCTCCCTATCCCTCCTCATTTCTTTCTCCTCCAGCCAGAAGTGATTGCCAAGGGAGCTATGGTGACAAAACATCTCTCTACTTTTTTTTTTTTTCCCATTGCTCTGCTCTTCTGGAAAAATCCAGTTCCGACTGAGCTATTTTATTTACATCTCCTAGGTAGATACCTTTGGGGGAAAATAATAGCAGGTTAATTTAAAAGGAAGCAGGAGAGTCTTGTTTTATTCTTTGTTCATAGTATAAACATCTGATTTGATTCCAATTAAAAATAATTTTTTGACCACTATGTTTTTTTATTCTTTGGCATTTCATGCAACTTAAAGATGGAGCACAAACATACTTAAGTTTGTGTTATTAGTTGCATTAGCTGAATGCCCCTTGTTTACAGGAATAAGCTGACAATGCCAAAATCAGGTCAATCTTGGGTGAGGGGGAAGTGATGTGGAAGTTAAGATTCCTCCAAAGATCTTTATCTCACTACATCATTTGTTGCTGGCCAAGAAAAATCACACAGGGAATTTGTCTGTGGCCACTAGATGTCGATCATGTTCTTCTTAGAACTTTGAAGTTCATGGCCCACTGCCACTCCCCAAGAGCAAGGAGTAGCTTACGGTGACGTTTTCCTTTCTGAGAAGCAAGAAATAGCCCCTATGAACTGGAAACGAATGGAGGAAAATGCTGAAATTCAGTTTGCCTCATTTTCTTCTCTATCTCTGGAAAGCTCGGTAATCATCAGATAATTTCACTTGTTTAAACTCTATATGTCCTCCCAGTATTTCTCTTTTTTTAAAGCTGTTTATTTTAGCTGTGTAATTTCTGAAAGATGATGGATGTAAGATTGGTGAATTCCCCCTTTATTTAGTTATCTTACGCATATAAGAAAATACTGGCCACCTTTCACACAAATAGAAACAGAAAACATTTGAGCTATAAACCATGTGCAACTTTTTTGTCTACTATGATGAAATTACTATCTATAAAAGTCAAGATATAATTCATTCTATGTATTTTTAATCTCTAATTTACTTTTGTTAGATCTTAGCACTAAAAAATTACATCTGGTATTTTGAATTGTTTAAATCTGTTCTTCTCCAAAGAACAGTAATACAATCATGTTCTAATTTAATAGCATTTGCATATTATTAAACATATAATGGCCCATAATCTACTTTTCTTCTGCCTGTAATTTTCTTAAGCTCTTTATTAAGCACCAGTGAATTTTTTACACATTTAAAAAGTAGATTATGATCCCTCAAATAATGTCACAATTAGGTATTCAAAAAGGAAGCCATACAAAGGTATGAACTATGGAAGTCTCCACATCATTGTTCAGTGCAAGCTCTAGAATAAAAATATAAATTTTGTTACCTAGGAAATGTATGTTCAATTAATTTCATATCAAACATAGTCAGGAATCTTGCCCTACAATGACTTGACTTGAAAAATATATTAACTCCAATTCTCAGCATTCATTGATCATTCTTGGATATTTGGTTGAACCTGTAAACATCCTTCTAAAAGAATTCTATTCAAATTTTTCTCATCTTGGCTACAGGACTATTGACACTTAATAACAAATGGGGTCACTGGGAGACCCTGATTCTTTCAAAAGTTAAATGGATCAAACAGAAGGATTGCAATTGTGGACTATAAAATGCCTCCATGAAATGCCACAGAGAGATGTTCCGTGAACCTCTGGAAGTATGCACATAACAACTGCTGACTCTAGTAGGCTTTATTCGTGTTTTAAAAATAAATATTCTCTCTCATGCCATTCACCCGGTTATGAAAATGACACTTGCTGGTGCTAAGGAAAGCTGTTTTGAATCTTCAGGGAAATGCATGCAGCGCTTCTCTGGCAGTTCACCCAAGAAGGGAGAGTGTGACACCCTATGTTCAGAAGAACTATGGGACAGACCTAAAGCATTTCGGCACTTGTCCAGTCCTCCTTGGATGAAAGGATTGCCAAGGCAAAGCGGGATCTGGAATATGCAGAGATTCTC